TAAGATTGAGTCCTAGAACGGGAAGATCCGATCATTAGATCAAAAGGTCTTCTTTTCAGGATCGTTTTTTTTTTCTTTCTTTTGGTGCAATAGTACATCGCCGTATCTTGCTCTCTACATCTCTATCTAAAGACGCCATTATTCTTATAAAAATAAAAACGTTCTAAGATCAAAGAGAAAAATAAATTGACAATAAAAAAATTTCTAAATTCTGCTTTTGCAACTAAGACCGAGGAAAAAGGAAAATTCTTTTCAATACTGCTTTTTGGGCGCTCATAATATCTTAATACAAAATTTAATTCTGTTCTCTGAAATGTTATACGCACAAGGGGTCATATGTAAGAAAAATTACTTATTCATCCTGCATTTTAGTGATATAGTCTACAAGATTATTTCTACAGGGCTCGAAAATCAAAACTATAAAATGGCTAGGATAAATTATCGAAAGAGTTTAAATTTACTCGCTAGTCTACTTTATTTGAAAATATGATTCTGTGTTTAGTCGCTGCTAGGTAGTCTTTTTTGTGATAACAACGAAAATATCGTCTGATAAATTAAGCAAACAAAAATCTTCTGAAATAAACATCCTGAACGATTTGTAAATATTACTGACATAATCTACAAGATTATACCTATAGGTCTCAAAACTCAAAAGCACAATGTCATCAAACGGCGATATGAATATAAAAGAAGCATTCAAATCGATTCGTAAATAAGGCCAGCTCGATTTATGATACTGAGTTTAACCGGAAGGCTGTCTTTATTGTAATAACAATGAAAATATAATTTGTTAAGACGCTGGGCTGTCTTTTTTGTGATATCAACAAAAATATCGCCTAATGAATTAAGAAAAAAAAATCTTTAATAAACATCCTGATTTGAAAATATTATTGACGTAATCTACAAGATTATACCTATAGGTCTCAAAACTCAAAAGTACAATGTCATCAAACGGCGATATGAATATAAAAGAAGCATTCAAATCGACTCGTAAATAAGGTCAGCTCGATTTATGATACTGAGTTTAACCGGAAGGCTGTCTTTTTTGTAATAACAATGAAAATATAATTCATTTAGACGCTGGGCTGTCTTTTTTGTGATAACAACGGAAATATCGTCTAATGAATTAAGGGAAAAAAATCTTTAATAAACATCCTGATTTGTAAATATTACTGACATAATCTGCAAAATTATACCTATAGGTCTCAAAACTCAAAAGTACAATGTCATCAAACGGCGAAATGAATGTAAAAGAAGCATTCAAATCGACTCGTAAATAAGACCAGCTTGATTTATGATACTGAGTTTAACCGGAAGACTGTCTTTTTTGCAATAACAATGAAAATATAATTTGTTTAGACGCTGGGCTGTCTTTTTTGTGATAACAACGAAAATATCGTCTAATGAACTAAGAAAAAAAAATCTTTAATAAACATGCTGATTTGTAAATATAATGGACATTATCTACAAGATTATACCTACACTGCCGTGCAATTCAAAAATCAACGCAAAAACAACACTTCTCTCGGAATGGCTGTCTGTTTCGTAATTACAATGAAAATATAATATGATTAATGAAAAAAATCCTTATTACAGTAATTATGATCATCTAATGTCATTTTTAATCTAACGAGTGAGTTAGAAAGTATAAAACTGCTAATTATTGTATTTTTTTTATCCATTGCATCTAACTTCAATAAGGGGAGATTTCTATGGGAATTTCATAATGTGCAACTATTTTTTCCTATTCATCCAACTTAATGAGGACTTTTATTGGAGTCGAAACAGAACAGAAATTTCCTTTTTTAATGCTTTAATTTAATTCATTTTTAAATTAAGCTTTTTAAATATGACGCATAAAAAGGTAGATATTAATTACTTTCTATACTGCTATTATCGATCTATTTTTCCAGAAACAGTTAAAGGACTGCTGGTGTATTTTAAACAGCTGCATCTGATAATTATTTAGTATTTCCTGCTTTGCAAATTAATAGCTCTGTGTAACATTTGAAGCGCATATGAATGGATTTAATTTATGATTTATTATTTAAAAAATTTTCTTCCTTCGTTAATGTATTCAAAGATCTTTCAGTTTTGTAAGAAATATAGCGTAAATTATAATTATGAATAATTATTTCTCTTTATCTTGTATTAAACACGTCGTTATTGGATGTTAGAATTGTTAGTCGCTATAACAAGTGCGATTGCAACTTTTTCTTTCTGATGAAGTAGTAAATAATATTTTAATTATGAGAGGAAAGTTTGAATAAAAAGAAGGAACTTTAATGAATTCGTTTTAATAAATGTACCATAACTATTTTTCGCAAATTTTCAATCGTGATATCGAAACTGTTTTTAACATTCTGTTCAGAATCTTTTGCAAATGCAATTTAGATTTTAGTTAAATTTTTGATTTAAATTTTATCCTCGTATTTGGTTTTTGTCTTGATATTGGGGATAGAACATTCTTATATAGTATGAAGTCTATATGTTTGTATTTAGTGTATCATATTATAATAATGTATAAAACATGAAAAAGAAATTGCGTTGCAGTATTAAAATAGTGGAAATAATTGATACTTCAGATTTTTTTCTTCAATAATTTAAAACAGTAACGTTTTTAGATTTTTTAAAGATTAAAAAAAGAAAAAGAAAATGTGTGGTTGAACTTTTTCTTTTGGCAAGAAAAATAAAAAAGCCATCGTTAAATAAAAATTTCAATTTTTGGTGATTTTTTTCTCCATCCAGATTAAAATTATTAAAATTAATGAATAACACCAAGCAACAAATTTTTTATAGCATTTATATAAAAAATTTGAGTCCTAGTGGTTTTATTCGGGTGTGGGGTGGGGATTTCAAATCTAAAATTACTTTTACTCCTTAAAGCTAAAGATTTTTTGAAATGAAATATTTAGTCCATTTTAATCATATCGAAATGTACAAGTTTAAAAACATTATACATAAAAGGAAGCCGTGTAAATATTGCGGCAAACTTCTAGGGGAGTTAGGACACATCAGAATTAAAATTGCATCGGAACCCATGCCCGGAAATGTCATCGTAAGCGGCTAAGGGCGCTTCCCCAATTATGACCTGTTCCAAAGCACACAAAGAAACAGTTCATAATGGAGAAGCGACTCTAGCTGCAAATGCCTACATTTCCGAGCATGGGTTTTTATGCAGTTTTAATCCTGATGACGTGTCCTAACTCTGCTAGTGATACATTTATAATACCTGCTGTTTTACATAATGTTTCTAAACCTGTACATTTCGATAGAAAAAAAGGCTAAAAATGTCCTTTTAAAAAACTGTAGCTTGTAGAGAGAAAGCGATAGCATATTAGAAATCAGTGATACAAAAGTATCTAAGACTTCTTAAAAAATCTTATGTAACAGAAAAAAAAGAAGTTTCCAATCAATTTTTGCAAATTTTTATGAGCACAAATGAACCTTAGTTGGAGTAACTTTTTAAATATTAACAAATTTAGTCCGAAACACATTTCCTTTTCAAAAAACTGTGGCTTTTCTTCATATTGATGATTTGTGCAATTTTCAGAATTAGCCTGAACGGCGAGCGCTAAAGATGGCCTAAACTTGACCTAACAGTCATAAATAGCTGTTGCATAAGCATATTATTTTTCGAAAAGAAGCTTCATTTAATCGATAGTGACCGATAATAAATTTGAAAAAAAAAAAAAAAAAAAAAAAAAAAAAAAAATACAAACTATAGAAATNCAAAAAAAACAAAAAAAAAAAACAAAAAAAACAAAAAAAAAAACAGCTGAACTCAAAGTGTTTTAATAAAAGCTTTTCCACAAAAGCAATAATATTTTTTCTTTTATTAAATTTAACTCATTGTCACGCAATTTCAGATTAATATCATGAAATATTTATATTGTATGGTTTCAGTTTGGCCCACAATTCGGCAACTCTGTTCTTCAAAAATTCGAAAACTGAGTCAAAAAGATGAGTTAGTTAATGAACTTCCACGGGAAGCAGCAAGTGACTGAGATCTTCAGTGGATTCAATAATATAAGAGTTACCGAAAAATCTGTCACGCATAAAAAATTTTTGCAACCAAACGTTATCAATCAAATATCTATAGGCCAATGCCAATATAAAGAAAAGCCAGAGTTCTTTTTTTTTAACTGCTGACATGTGGTTTTTTAAAAATATTTTTACTGCATTCAATATTCTTTGAACAGTGTTTCAGTATTTTTTTGTTTTGTAATAATGCAACAATATTTCAAAAATATGCTGAAAAAAAGGTATCTCTATGCGATTTCAGAATTTTTCAGACTGATTAGATCATATGTCTAAACAAGCATTTGTGATCTAATTTTAAAAAAGCTTCTCCAATACTGCATTGTTGGAGTTTTACAAAAGTATGAAAAAAATTGGAATCATTAATTGATTTTGAAATTTTTTATCCCTATGGATAAATCTTCCTAATCTTGCAATTTTTTACAAAAAAGTTTCATATTTTTTTACATTTATAATTTTTGTCCAGTTTAAACAGTAGAAATTTTTTCCCTCCTTTTAGCATTCAAACTGTTGCCTTTTTATTTTTCTCGGTGAAAGAGCTTGATGATGATTTATGTGGCTTATAATTACTTCATAACATGATAAATTTTAAATTAATTTTATATTCAATTTGTTGTTAATTAATAATAAATTTTGTGATTAGTTTAGACACTTCATAAAAATGTATGGTTTATGATTTTTTTTCACCCAGGAAATTAATTTAATAGCGAAAAATTACAACCTTCTTACGTTTTAACATTTGCATAAAAGCGTATTTCTTTTTCTTTTGAATAAAAGCAAAGGAATGCTTTTTATGCAATCAAGTTAGCCAAAATAAAATAGGTAAAAAATGAGAAAGATAATTAACAGTTTAGATGATCAATGAAATACTGCAAAACTGCAATAAATGCCCAAAATAATTAGGAAACAATTTTATAATGTGTATACTCATATAGAACCATCAAAGCATTCATTACTAATAAAAAGAGAAATGAGTTTATTTATATAATAAAATTATTTATTTACAGATGAAATAAATATTTTCTATACATAAAATTGCTATTAATTACAGACAATAATCATTGAAATCGAGTAAGAAACTGTGGTAAGTTCATCACTTCACCTACACCCACGGATGAATCCATACTTATAAAATCATCAATATTATTTGTGGATTCTAAAAAAGAAGAAAGAAGTTTAATTTTACTCATGGATTTACAAGTCATTGGCTAATTAAAAAATCTATGTTACAGGCTGATTGGAAAAGTCACTATTCTGTAATAAGGCAGACACTTTTTAGTTTTATTGCAGTAGGTCCACATACCTTTAGGCTGATTAAAAAAACATATTGCAGTGCATATTGTATAACATATTTTAGGTTCATTATAATCAGCCTATATGCCTTTACAAAACAGATTAAATTAGCTTATATCAATAAACATTTAATAAATTTATTTGTAATAAGCGTTCATTACTCAGAGCTTTTCGAAAACTGCCTGAAATAAATTGCCTAGAGATATATCAATAAGCCTAATATATATATATATATTCGTAATTACA